TATTAATTTATAGATTTTTGGTTTACAGACGGTTTCTATTATTAACCTAATCCTTTCATAAATTGGGGTCTACCTGTAGTGTCCAGTACTGTTCTCTATTTGGTTTCCACTTAATATCCTCTCAAAGATAGAATGGATGGACTCCAGTTTTGGTGTTGAAGTGTATTATGACAGGTCCTTGCTTGGGGTTGTTGAATGTACAGTATTGCTGCACCAACTAATGTACTTGTTATTGTTTTAACCATATTAATTCTTCGAGGATGTACTGTACTGTATAGCCCTTACAATGGCTTTCATTATTTTGATTGCAAAGAATACTGGATAAAAGAGGTACCAGTACTACTAATTGTATCCTACGTGTGTTTACAGGATGTGGAGGAAAGAGTACAGCGAACATTTCCAAACCCAATTGACCGTTGGGCAATTGGTGATGCTCAAGCGGCGATCGAGAAAGCAATTGAAAAGGGGCGCAAGAAGTCGCCCCTTGTCTTACCTGTAGATAAGGCCCACCCTTTGTTACGAGTAAGTGCCGCACACTATGCTACTCACTATTACATGTATTATACTGTCCTACCTAACTAGGGTTTACATGGTATTCACTTGTAGAATTTATCCGTATAAGATCTGGTGAACTGTTGTAAATATATGTGAAGGAAGGTAGCATATAGTTTGTTGAGTCAGTGCCTCAGTACCCCTCTCCCACCCAATATTGTGGGCAGTGGGCTAGATTAGTTTCTTTGACCACAATGAAGATGGGAAGTTTTTACAACAGAGGCACAGAGAATACTGAATACATGAGTGCAGTACATTAATAAGGTAGGTTGGACTTTATGGATGGTTAACACTGAGATTTGTTGGGCAGAAATTTCAGTAGTGTTTCCCATGAAGTTAATCCCCCGCAGAGATTGAGGGTTTACCGTACGGTCGGAAGCACTAATCGCTACCATCCCCGCCCCCTCCCCAGTAGCAGGAGCCACAGCCAGTGAAGGCCGATATTGACACTATTGATACAATGCAGTGTCGCCAGCTATGATAGTTCCAAAACTATCCGTGAAGGGGAAGGAGGAGGTAAGGTCTCTCCGATCACCCCGCTGTCACTTTCCATGGCTTTGGCTACTGGGGGGGGGGTTGATTAGTGCTGCTGACTGTGCTGTATGTGTAGGTATTTGCACTCTCGTTGTAGTAGTCCTGTGCCTGTCACTTTCTACCATTCAAATTCTTGTATTATTTCCCTCTGTCTCTTGATCATATGTCATAGAGAGAAGTAAAGATTTTGTAATAGATAAGCAATTAAAAGATAACATCTTAGTGACAATGAACTAATAAATTAATGTTTGTTGTTTCAGGATGTTCTTCAGACAAAGATTGATTATCAAGTAACATTGTATATAGTTGCTGTTTTAGAGTATATATCTGCAGATATATTAAAGGTAAGGGACAACTGTTTATTATTTCAGTAGGATTTTTTTATATGAAATTTTATTAAACTAAACACTTGAGATATGAAAAAACCCATGGACTCATGCTCTTCACCTGTTACTGATAATAATTCATCCATTACCTGAAAGTAATGATTATTGTAAACTATAATTACTAGACAATACCCAGTCCATCCACATGATGTTATGGTCATGCAGGTGTCTGGTAATTCAACACACTGTACTGTACTGTGTTAACCAGCTTTGGAGGGAGACATTTTGTGACGTTCATTACCTGACATATTTGTTAAAGTAGTGCTCACTGTACAGTATTGAGTGTGTGGGAAGTAACTGACTCATTATATAAATATGTATTTCCATGTAGATTATTGCTTATCAAATAAGTGAAAACCTATATTTTCCCCCCCCAAAAAAAGATCATCTACAATGGGGCTGTCCCAAACCTCTGCAGATAATTGAGTCTGCTGTACGTCTTTTTATTAAATGAATCTGAAAAAAAAATTGTTTTGGTCACTGCTGTCATAAGGATCCTATAAATATTACTTTATATGATTTTGTCAAGAAACAATGTCTTATAAATATTCATCTCACAACAGCTTGCTGGGAATTATGTCAAAAACATTAGACATATTGAGGTGACCCAACAAGACATCAGAGTAGCCATGTGTGCTGACAAGGTAAGGTCTCCAGAGTTACAGAGGCTGTGTAAGATGCTGTTACCAATATTATGTTGGGAACTACAGTTAAAATGTCTAGAGGAGTGATGTGACATGTTGTGAATCACCGTGGATGATGAGAATCACTTTCTACACTGTATTGTGTGTATCATTTAGTTGAGGGTAAGACCATTTATTGTATAATTAATCCAACCTAATATACAGGATGAGATAGAGGATTTACTGTACAGTGTTAGGTGTGTGTGTGTGTGTGCGTGTGTGTGCGTGTGTGTGTGTGTGTGTTTTTTTTAAACCAGAGGGTGTACCTTGGTAGAGAACATATTTTACAGTGTTAAGAATGGAGTAAAGTAGAGCCAAAGAAGGGAGAAAGTGTGTATATCACTGCTCAAGCTTCCTGCCATCCAACATTAAGCAGGAAAAGATTTGAAAAGAGTAAAAATAAAAGATGTTAGTGTAATGATGTGTGATGGGAGAGGCAACAGTGGGGACAGCTGTTGGTGTCCAGAGTGTGTGATGGGAGAGGCAACAGTGGGGACAGCTGTTGGTGTCCAGAGTGTGTGATGGGAGAGGCAACAGTGGGGACAGCTGTTGGTGTCCAGAGTGTGTGATGGGAGAGGCAACAGTGGGGACAGCTGTTGGTGTCCAGAGTGTGTGATGGGAGAGGCAACAGTGGGGACAGCTGGTGGTGTCCAGAGTGTGTGATGGGAGAGGCAACAGTGGGAGAGTGTGTGATGGGACAGCAGTGGTGGTGGTGTCCAGAGTGTGTGATGGGAGAGCAACAGTGGAGACAGCTGGTGGTGTCCAGAGTGTGTGATGGAGAGGCAGCAGTGGGACAGCTGTTGGTGTCCAGAGTGTGTGATGGGAGAGCAACAGTGGGGACAGCTGTTGGTGTCCAGAGTATGTGATGGGAGAGGCAACAGTGGGGACAGCTGTTGGTGTCCAGAGTGTGTGATGGGAGAGGCAACAGTGGGGACAGCTGGTGGTGTCCAGAGTGTGTGTGGGAGAGCAACAGTGGGGACAGCTGTTGGTGTCCAGAGTGTGTGATGGGAGAGGCAACAGTGGGGACAGCTGTTGGTGTCCAGAGTGTGTGATGGGAGAGGCAACAGTGGGGACAGCTGTTGGTGTCCAGAGTGTGTGATGGGAGAGGCAACAGTGGGGACAGCTGTTGGTGTCCAGAGTGTGTGATGGGAGAGGCAACAGTGGGGACAGCTGTTGGTGTCCAGAGTGTGTGGGCTCAGCTAAAACGACACCATAGCTTTGTTAATATCTTCACTGGTCTGAACCTCCCAATTATTAACTTGCCTACTTATACAACATTGTTTTTGATACACTAAATATAAGTTAATAGGGTTTCTAAACAAGCTTTTTACATGTACAGTAGTTTGATTTACATGAAAATAGGATTATTAACCCTTTGTGGTCCCCTCTGTGATGAATAAAATCATCTGGAAGTTAGCCAAATAGAATATTTAAAGTGGTGTCCGTCACTGTAGTGAAAGGGTTAAGCATTACAAGAATATTAAGAGTTATGAGGTACATGAGATAAGAGTTAGAAGTATATAAGTCAGGAGCTTTAATATAACTTTGTGATCATGTTCCTCAGGTGCTTATGGACATGTTCCAACAAGACGAAGACGGGGAGATGAGTGGCGTTGGAGAGGACACAAACCTTGACACATCCATCACCTACGATGAACTCGTCAAGGACCTCATACAGGAGAAGAAGACCTATATTAGGGAACTCAATATGATCATTAAGGTAAATCACATTATACTTACTTTTGACGAAAGAAAATTATTAACTTCAACTTAAGCTGTTATTTTGGGCAAAAAATATTTGGACAACTTAGGTATTGTTTGAATGTATTTGAACCTATAGTACAGTAGTCCAATTACTAAAGGTAGAAATAACATTTAAGATATCGTATTTTATTTGATTTATTATATTTTCCATTGTACAGGTGTTTTGTATATTTATTGTTACTTTTAATGTACAGGTATTTTAAAGCCCTCCAGGGTATAAGCATCTGACAGCTTGGTCAGCTATCCTTGGTCAAATTGCCTCACTGTTTACCACTGTTGTATATCTGCACTGGCTAGGCACAAAGGAAACTGTGTACTCCCACGGTCTATGTGCACCATATACTGTATACCTACATTGTCTATATTCATGCTGAACTGTATACTGTACTTGTGTAGTTTATATACATGCCTATCCAGCTGTAAACCTGTACAGTATGACAGTTTTAGTTAATAATTATAAGGTATTATTAATCAATACTTATGTTGCCATCCAGGTATTTCGAGACAAACTGCAACAGATTCCATCATTACAAGAGAGCGGTATTAGAGAACTCGAGATAATCTTCTCCAACGTCACGGAGATTTACGATTTCTCTGTCAACTTCCTCGGCTCTCTGGAAGACACTGTGGAAGTTACCGAAGAAAACGAATCTCCGGTTATTGGCATCTGCTTTGAGGAATTGGCTGAGGTGAGTCGTGGGGACGTCATTGTGAATGTTTAGAGGGTGACATGACGTTGAGTTGGGTTTGGGGGGGTGACCGTACTGTACTGCTGATGCTTGGCTGTAGGATTTAGTGTCTGGGGGTAAACTGATCAGAGTGACACATGGTATTTGGGGTCTTGTTGTGAGAGGGAAACACCAGAGTAGAAAATGTGTATTGCTACAGGAAGAATGATTGAATGAACAACAGAGAATGAATAAAAGAGAATGAACAGCAGAGAAAGAAGAATGAGAGAGAGATTCAGTGTTAGTTTTGTGTTGCAGTGTGAAGTTCGAGAGAGCAATGAAATGAATTATTCAGACTCTTTTTATATGTAATTCTTCTGAGATATTTAGCCATTTGCTCACATATTATTTGCTATTTTAAGGTGAAGGAACTTAGCGTCTTTCTTCTTCCTCGTCTCTTTCCAACCAGGGCGCCGAATTCGACGTGTATGCGAAATATGCGAGCGATGTCTTGCGGGCGGAGTGTGCCGAGACGCTGATGGAGGTGGTGAGCAGACCTGACGTAAGCGACGCCCTCACCAGCGCTGGCCACGGCTTCAAGGAGGCCGTCAAGTACTACCTGCCCAAACTGCTTCTTGTACCTGTGTATCATGTCTTTACCTACTTTAAGGACATTGAGGTGAGTTAATACTTGTTGAGGTGTGTTATATTTACTGTTCAGGTGTGTTATGCTTCTTGAGGTGTGTTATATTTACTGTTCAGGTGTGTTATGCTTCTTGAGGTGTGTTATATTTACTGTAGAGGAGAGTTATAATCAACATAAATAGTTATAATTACTGTTGGCTTCATTATAATCACAGTTACTGGCAGTTATAGTTAATTTTGTGTAAATTGAAAGTTTACTGTATATTTTGAGATAGAGTACTGTACTGTACCAAGGAGGGGAGGTGTGCCAAGACCAGTGTGAGGAGTTGAGTGTAATTATATAGAGGGTTTAGTTTATAATATAACTCTGGGCTTTATGTGTTGAGGAGGAAAGGTCATAAACACAGAGATAAAGGTTTAAGTAATTTGTTTTCTTTATTCCTTTTCACGTCATCTCTGGATCCCCGGACACTTGGTTACCTGGTCGTCTGGTTGTACATGTTGTGTGTGTCTATGGTCATCAATGGACAGATGTTGCTGAGTAATACAGAATCTGAAGAAGGACGGGAGAGCCTTGAACAAGTGAAGGGGCTCTTGTGGCCGCTTCAGAGTCAGTTAGAGCGCAACATACAGAACTCTGTGTATGCTCCTTACCTCAAGAGAAAAATAGGGTATGATTAATATTTTTATTTATTTTGCCCCTAAAGGAAATTCATCTGCTACAGTACCTAATGATATATGAAAGTCATAACATGATGTTTGTCATAAGTGATGAGAAATATTTTTGTGGTGTCTGTTGACATACATTAATCTTAGTAACTTGTATCCCACAGGGAAATCAATTTACGTCATAGACGGCAAAGTAGACAACAAACTTTATTAAAGATGAAAGACTTACAACGGTCTATAGACGGCTGGGAAGGCAAGGTCATCACCCAGTGCTGCAATGAGTTTGTTTTAGGTAAGACTTGGGTCAGCAAATACTGTACAGCATAAAGGAACATGTTAATGAGTGTGTATATTAATAGTAAAGTAAAGTCATGAATTACAACCATTTGATGTTTGTAGCCACTCAGTACAGTGCAAACTTTGTATTGGTGAATTTAATGCACAAAGACAGTGCATAAGTTGAGACACAGATTGCACTGAAGACACCTTATTGTTATTACAGTAAATTATGGAGTAAAATTGTCTTTCAAATTCTACATTATTACTTATATGTATTTTATCTGTTTAGTTCTTTTTCTTAAGTCTTTACAGCTGTAGTGCAGTTTGACCAGGATCTAGAACAAATATACACATACACTCACCTCATTCACTCATTATTACTGCAGTATTAAAATTGTTTTACAAGGGTAAACCTTTTCAATATGGGTGTTAAATATTTACCTGGTTTACCTCCCTTTTACTTGACACAACCCAGCATCACACCTCAGCAACACACCTCAGCAACACACCTCAGCATCACACCTCAGCAACACACCTCAGCAACACACCTCAGCATCACACCTCAGCAACACACCTCAGCATCACATTCAGCAACACACCTCAGCATCACACCTCAGCAACACACCTCAGCAACACACCTCAACAACACTTCTCAGCAACACACCTCAGCATCACACCTCAGCAACACACCTCAGCATCACACCTCAGCAACACACCTCAGCATCACACCTCAGCATCACACCTCAGCAACACACCTCAGCATCACATTCAGCAACACACCTCAGCATCACACCTCAGCATCACACCTCAGCAACACACCTCAGCAACACGTCCTTCCTCAATATTTTCATTACTGTCCAGTCACTATCAACCCCTTGAGTATGGTGTCGCCTCCGAGATAAATAAAACAATTTATCTTTAGGAAATAAAATATTCAAAAGTGGTGTCCCTGTAGTGAATGGGTTAATTATACTCTCAGTACTTGCAGACTCTCCCAATAGCCTTGTTGTGATCATTGATACAGAGGGAGACCTGTTGAAGCTGGGAGCCACCGGGAGGAAGCAGACCGAGCGTCACGTCTTCCTCTTTGACGGTTTAATAGTCCTCTGCAAGAGCAATAACAGGAGATCATCAGTCACAGGCCAGGTCAGTCAGTCAGTCAGTCATATGGATAACAAAGTAACTTATTTATTTATCATTTCACTACTTATAAGCTCACTAACCAGTCATTCAGGCAGTTGGTCTCTTCTTTATTACTTTGTAGTGACTGAGTGTTGTGAATTAGTGGAAAACTTTGAGGTTGTGTGGAAATTCTGATTCATTTCATCTTCCATGACTGAGGATGATGGGACGACGTAAGGGAATTGTCTTGTAATTTGTCTTTTTTTTTGTATGAGATTTAATGCAACTCCCACATGACCTGATGAATACAGTACAGTTAAGGCTGAGTGAGAAAAAGAACATTGAGGTGTTTTATTACTTTTGTACTGATGATTAAAATACAGTACAGTAGAAAGTCGATATAACGCAAGATACGTTCCAAGAGAGGTCGTCACGTTAAATTGAATTCACACTAAATCGAAGTGTTGTTTCAATGGAATAATTTAGTTTGGTACTTGAGAGAAACACAAAATACTAAAAAATGTGAGAACAATATATGGTGTAATGATATACAGTATATGCAGCAAGCACTCCCTGCAGTCGAGTTGGGAGCTGGACGGTACTGTTACTGCCTGGTACTGCCCTGTACTGTCTGCTGCCTCGTGTCACTGGCCCTCCCCCTGCACTTTCACTTTCCTCTCAACTTAGTTTTTCATGACTTTATGATATCAAAAATAGATTTTCATCCACCTTAGTTAGGCAAGTCATCCTCTTAAGATGCAGAGCCCAACTCGACCAGTTCATCATCCACATCACTGTCTGGTGGTGCGGCTGTGGAGGCACCTGTCACGCGGGAAGCACTGGATGACGGCCGTGTCTGCCCAGATGTAGATGGGCCAGTAAATGATGTAGTGGCTGGCCTCTTGGACATAGTGGTGATGGTTGATGCACGTGGTAGAAGGAGATAGTGTCACAATATGTCCGTTCACTAGAGCATCAGTGTGAGAACTGGGGATGTGGGAGGGTGGAGGGCAGCCATGTAGCTGCCCAGAGAGGTGTCTGGCGGGAAACATTAGGCGCAAAATTTAAAATATTGTTTCCATGTGATGCGCCAGATTTGATTCCCGTAAAATAGGAAAGATTCGCGTTAAATTGATATGTTGTCCTTAATTGTGGGTGTCGCTTTAAATCAATAATTTTAAATTGATTCGCATTAAATTGATGTTCTATTGTATTATTATTTTTGTGCTGATGTACATTCACCCACAAAAGTACTGTCACCTCCTGCTGCTCCCTGAACCTCAAGATTCAGACTCGCGAATCTGAAGCAGTAGACACAAGCATTGTGTTGTCCATGGATGCTTCAGAGTCACAGGTCTGCTTCTCGGGGTTCAAGGAGCAGCAGAGGAGGCGACAGGACTTATGTTTGCGACTGTATGATGAGGAAGCTTCTGGTAATATGTGGACGTCCAAGGGTTTGTGTCGGTATGAATGTTGTAGGGAAGATAAGTCCTCTATTTTAATTCCAATTTTTATAAGATAATGTTAGAATGTTCAAATAGAAAGGTGTTTGTGATGCAGTGAGCAGCCATTGATATAGTATGACCAGTGTTTCAGTGTATTAACCACCTTGTACAGGACTTTCTCCATCCGTTGGCCAAATAAAGTATTAAACTTGTCATCCCTGTACAGTACTGTTAAGATTAAGGGTCATGTTGAGAGGTGGAACACTGTGGTTATGTTACAATGTCTCACCTTGTTGCTTCTCTCTTTCAGATTGGAGAATATAGATATAAGGAGAAATTCTTAATGAGAATGGTGGAGATCCTTGACAGAGAAGACACAGAAGGTAGTGTAGTGTTTGGTACAAGTTGTAGGAGAATGTTTAGACACAAGATGAATATAAGTTTTATGTTTAGATTTCATAAGAATATAAATTTTAAGTACCGGTAATCTAAGATGGGAGTAGTGACCCTGCCTGGCCAGTTAAGAGAACACTGAAGTCCTACATATGATACATAATTCCCAGTCTGTAAAAGTGGGTGGGTGGTAGGAAGGATGTCTGGCCATAAAACTTGCTTCGATTATGCCTGATGGATGACATGCCATCTGGTAATCACGACTTAAACCTCACAAGTGTGGAAAATGTCTGTTAAACTGTGATGCTGATGAATTTTAAGTAATGTTTTGTTCATGTCGGTGGAAATCTATAAGAGGAAATGAGTCTGTAGAAAGAGACCAGGTATTAAAAAAATTAGGGTAATTGGGAACTGATTACAGGTAGTTAATATGATGATTAAGCTCTTACTAATTATACTGTTCAACATAAATTTGTGCTATGAGATACAGACCAACTAACTCTTGGGTTGTATGACAGAGGTGAAACACTCTTTTGAGATTCGACCGAGGGACCAGCCCAGTGTGGTGCTACTTGCAAAGTCTGCAGAAGAGAAGAACACCTGGATGGCTGCTCTCGTCATGCTCAACACTCGCAGGTACAATACGACTCTTGCCTCGTCTTTTCGCGCTTGAATAAATCCTGAAATAATTTTTTTAAACTATGATTGACCAGAGGAGAGAAACAGTATTATGCCATTTGTTTGTTGTCTCGCGAATTAAGTTGTTCTTGAAGATAACTGTTTAACGAGTTGTTTTTGCTAACTGGTTGAGATAATTTGATCTTGTTTTGCAGTATGTTAGAAAGAACCTTAGACAGTATACTACTTGATGAGGAGAAGCAGCATCCCTTGAGACTCCCAGACCCTTCAGTATATCAGTTTGCCATCCAAGACTCAGAGTCGAATATCATCATCGAGGAGAAGGAAAACTCAGGGACTCCGCTCATTAAGGTGACTAATTGGTGGAGTTACAGTCTAGTAGTGTTGGCATTCTTCAGTCACTCCACTCATCATTAAGGTGACTGATGTTACAGTCTAGTAGTGTTGGCATTCTTCAGTCACTCCACTCATCATTAAGGTGACTGATGTTACAGTCTCGTAGTAATGTTGGCATCTTGCAGTAGTTGAGGGATTATCTATTTTGTAAGTGGTAATTTTAGAGTGAATGAATTGGATGATTTAGCATTTCCAGCATGAATGAACCGGATGATTCAACGTAATACGCTCACTGTGTTGATAGTGAAGGACTTAGGAGAGGTAATGTTGTTGTCTCTCAGGTTATAAAAGTGGTTGTATTTATTTATGTAGTTATTTTTTAATATTCAATAATTACTATGATACCAATATTTTAAATTTAGGATTCAGTTTAAAAAAAATTTGACTAGTTATTTCTATATTATAGGATTGAAATATTTGATATAGTCAGTTATATTAAGTTTTCTTCTATAAAACACACTTATAATATTGTTTGTTTCAGGGAGCAACTCTGCCAAAACTGGTCGAGCGGTTAACATACCACATGTACGCGGACCCAATGTTTGTACGCACATTTCTTACAACTTACCGGAGTTTTTGCACACCAATGGTAAGTGAAGCATGTGGTGATGCTGTACAGAGTGTCTAGGTTCAGTACTGTATTAAGTAAGTTCCTGTTGTAGGTTTATGAGTTGAATCTAAAGTTAATTTTTTAATATATATACAATGGTAGACATGTGTGATGGTCATTTCTGGGTATTCATAAAGAACTTGTGACATGTAAGGTATAGTTAGAAGTATTGGTTAGTCTTAGTGATGAAGGTAACAGAAACATGTACAGTAGTTGAGGCTGGGAGGAAGGTTATGGATACTGAAGTACAATTATATTGATCATGTTAGTGTTTGTGTTGTAGTTGTAATGTATAGTTGTGGTTATTTGTATTGGGGGGACGGGGTCAGGGTACAATGTTGGCATGACACTGTACGGTACTGTTTTTGGTCTGTGTCTGTATGTGTGAAAGTAAAGAAGACATATTATCTGGTGTTTATGTGGGCCCAGAACTTGGTGCCATGACGACTATGAATCCCCGAACTGATCCCTCAATGCCTGTAAAAATTCATGTCTATCCGGTCACATGAATTTTTGTACAAGTTTCAGTCTGTTCAGGAGTTCAAAGTTGATGTGACTTATTTCTGGTCTCCTTTAAAAACACTGTACAGTACATGCCTTCTTTACACACACACACACACACATGCAACACATACACACACACACACACACACACACACACACACACACATGCACACACACACACACACACACACGTTCCATAAACGGTATTGTGCCATATTTGAACCTCCTAACTCTTGTAACATTAAACTTTTGATTGCAAGTATTGTTAGGTAGTACAGTATTAAGAACCCCCAAAATTAATGTTTGATTAATTCCCTTTGTAGGAATTGCTAGACCTGTTGATACAGCGCTTTGACATACCTGAACCTGAACTACCGCCTGTGAGCGAAGAGGAGCCGCAGGAGGTGAAGAACCAGCAGACCTCTATACACAGAGAGATTCTTAAGCGCTTTCGCAAGGAGTATTCACAACCAGTTCAGTTTAGGTAATGAAGCTTTGTAACTTGTATACAGACACAGTAATTCTTTCCATATTGTAAATGTTTAAAGAGGTTGTTACTTGATTTTGCATTATTAAGAGAGTTTATTGTACAGTAGTGGTGTCTTGATATGAACTTAAATGTGACTTTGAATTATGTTTGTAGACGTATCCAGTATCTCTCCCATACATGAATAATATTTTAAATTACATCAATAGTAATAACTTGGTTGACTGATACTATTATATTTTGTATACTTTTTTGTTGTGTAGGCAGACCAGATATCTCAAAGGAAATTAAAACACAATAAGTGTGTGTGTGTGTGTGGCCGTCATCAAAGTGTTGCTAATGCACCCGATCTTTCGTCTCATCCCTCAGAGTTTTAAATGTTTTACGTCACTGGGTAGACTACCACTTTTACGACTTTGAACGAGACAAGACACTGCTGGACAACCTCACGAGTTTCCTGGAGAAGGTTAAGGGAAAGTCAATGCGGAAGTGGGTGGAGTCCATCACCAAGATCATCCAGAGGCGGGTAAGTTGTGTACAGTATAGTTTAGATCCAAGACTTTGTTAACCTTGGAAAGATTAGTCGTCTAGTCTTGAATGTTCATTGTTTAATTTTATACAGGTACAGTACATGTAAATAGATTACAGTGCATGACATTATACAGTATTGATAGTTTGTTGTTGTGGCCGTAACTGCTTTATAATTTGTGCAATAATTAAGAATAACATTGATGGGTGGGATGGAAACACAGGGTTGATCTGACTTTATTTATTTCTCTAATGTTTTGGGCTACACAAAACCCGTCTTCAGAGAGAATACAAGTGGAGGAAGTTTGATATTTTATTTTAAATATGACAAACTTCATTTATTGTGTTTAATGTATAGTACAGATCAGCGGTTCCCAACTATATAATACATTATATGCCTGAGGGTCACGACACCGTATTGTTGGGAAATTTAGGGTCGCAGCCAAAAATGGTTGGGAACCACTGGTATAGATGGTTGATTAATATTTTTTATATATAACAGATTATTTTGATGTCATTGTGTAGTTTTTGTTAATTGAGTCGCCAACTTGCAGTGTAATGAGGAACAGAGAGAGATCACCTTCAGCTTAAACAAGTCACCTCCCTCCCCCAAGTGGCACATCAGATTAGAAGAGAAGGACTGGGAGGCCATTCTTCCCATCAGTGCTGGAGGAACTACCACAAATGTAAGTTATTTCTTTCTCTTTATTTACACAAGGAAGAGAGAGATGTACATGCTTACAATAGTGTGAAACCTCTATGTTGTGGACTATATGGAGAGGAGTCTGTTATATTGAGGACTCTTTAGATGAGAGACTCCCTTCTCACGGAATATGGAGAGAGAAGTCTACTACATGGAGGTTTCACTGTGTTAAGAGGTTTCTGTCAATGGTTTAGTCTCACCACCCACAGAGTCTGTCACTAGGCAGTCGTTAACCTTGAGTGTAAAAAATTGTCACCCAAGTAGAATTCTAAAGATTATATGTCAGCCATGATAAGTGTTTGCTCTTCATCACAATATGTAGAAGTTGATTACAAGGTAAATATTCTTGCCACATTAGCAGACAATGTCTCCTTTTTCTCTTTTATGTTTAATATAACAAAGTGTTCATGGCACAATATTGGAAAGATATTTCTGTAATCAGTTCAAAAATTGGGTACATTGAATGAATAAACAGTTTATATCGTAACTATACTCAGTGCAGGATGAGACACCTTCTTTCATTGTTGTATTAAGAACTCCAGATGTTTTTGTTTATATTATGATAATTTTAATTTGTTCTTGCAGCCTGACCTAGTAAGACCACTGCTGATGCTTCATCCTATAGAAATTGCCCGTCAGCTCACATTGCTGGAGTTTGAACTGTACAGAGCGGTGAAGCCATCTGAACTAGTGGGGACGCCATGGACCAAAGAAGACAAAGAAAAACGCTCACCAAACTTGCTCAAACTGATCTACCACACAAACCACGTAAGAGGACGTTATTAGGGGACACCTGGAGGGATGAGACAGCCACAGAGTCAGCCAAGGAGAGAGAAGGGGAAAAGATAAGAAGAGGGTAGAGAGAAGTAGGAAGCTAGTGGGCATAGGGGAAAGAGGGAGGTAGATGTGGAAAGAGAAAGGTGAAGGATGGAGAATCTGTCTGTGGTTATAGAGCTTTAATTCATGACTGAGGGAGGATTAGAGTCAAGTAAACCAATTCTAGGTTTTGTTTCCGTACTCTTGACACTTTAGTGGACAGGTGGATCATGATTAGGGTTTGTTTCATAAACCCTGATTCATGGGGTAGATAAGCTATGGGCAGTGTGCTGAAACTTACACTAATTTAACACGACTGCCCCTGCCTAAGAACACAGATCACATGTTATAATTAACTTGTCTCTTCCCCTCATTCACAAAAAAGAGTTCGTGCTTCAGTACTTATGATGTGGAAGGATGTGGTGAGTGAGTTGATAAATAGGAGGATATACCAGGAAGCATGATGTGAGAGAATGGTTGTGAGGTGTTGGTGGGGGAGGGATGTGCTGCGTATGGATGGTGCTGTGTTTTATGAAGCCACAGGTAAAGCAGATGGAAATCGAGTCCATGTGAGGGAAGTGGGCGACCACAGCAGATCAGGAGAAGTCTTACAAGGGAAACAATAAGTTTAGCCTTGTTTGTTATGAGGTACACAATGTGCCCATCAAATTATGCATCTATAGGAAAAAGAATTTTATAACTTGGTTAAACTATTTTGCTTGGTGAATTAGACATTAAATATTTGTATGAAATGTGAGCCAAATGCCAAATAATTGGTATTTTTACAAGTTATAACTTAAATAAAATTCATTGACTGCATATGTAATGTCCAAAGCAAATGTTCACTATATAATTATAAAATATTTAATATTTCCCCTGTATGTGTGTTTTAGGTAACGCGGTGGTTCATGCGGTGCATCGTGGACTCGGACAACTTTGAAGAGCGCGTGGCTGTGATGTTGAGGGTCGTCGAGATCATGGTGATGTTTCATGACCTCAACAACTTTAGTGGAATTTTTGAGGTGTCCAGTGCACTTGGGTCAGCAGCTGTCCACAGACTAGAGCTTACCAAAATGGTACGGTTTGTTGCCGTTTCTTTTGTTTTACTGATTTAACCTTGACAATATGTATACCATCACTGTCATCCTATTTGGGAATTTTTATAACATATATAAATGGAAATTTATTGTAGTGTTGATTTAGTGTGGAAAGAGGGTCTGTTTTTGCTCTTGATTTCATACAACTTGAGTTTTATTTTAATACCAAAACATTTCATTGCCAACAGGAGGTAAGAAAACGTCTTCCACTGGGCCAGCTGAAGGTCTTTGAAGAAGCATCTGAACTTAGTGAAAACCATTGTAAAAAGTATCAAGAAAAACTTCGATCCATCAACCCTCCATGTGTCCCATTCTTTGGTGAGTTGACTGAGAGAAGCAGCGTTGATGTTTAGGACACTCTACTCAAGGACACAAAAGGATATTGTTATATGTACTTATAAACACTGACATGTACTCAAGGACACACTTATATGTACTCACTCAACAAATCATACAATTTAGAATCTATATAATTATTGGAGTTATTGCCAAAAAAAAATCATATTTATAGAATGAAAACAATGGGGATTTTAAGGCTTATCCTTCAGTTGTGTGCGTGTCTGTTTTTACTGTTAGGTGATGGATCTGAGAGAGGTGTAGATGGTCAGCTCTTAGGATGTCTAGAAAGGTTTTATCTTTATCTCTATTCCTGTTGAGACTTTAGGTACTGAGTACAATATTGAATATACCTTTAGATAGATGGATAAGTTAGCTTCTTATGCATTAATTACTTACGGTAAATTGATAGAGAGATGAATGGGAATATAATTTGTGTTTTGTGGTCTTGACAGGGATGTACCTGACCAACATCTTGCTCATCGAAGAGGGTAACCCCGACTTCCTCCCTCGGGCTGCGGAAGGTCTCATAAATTTCTCCAAGCGACGAAAAGTGGCGGAGATCACCGGGGAGATTCAGCAGTATCAGAATCAACCTTACTGTTTGGAGATGGAGCCGCGCATTAGAGTAAGTACTGTACCCATGCGTCGTCGTATAGTTATTTTATTTATTTATTAACATCCGCTTCAACTCGTCAAATGAACCTTCTGTAGTGTGTTGGTGATAAACTCTACAGTACATATATTTAATAGCAGTATTGTACAAATTATGAAAGGTAAGTTAAAGAAGGGGGCACTACAGAGCTCCTTGGTGCACCACAGTCAAGAGTCACCTACACTTATACCTGGTACAATTGCTGGCATTTTTGTGAGATGTGGCAACTCTCTGGATGCTTCTCTAGCATCCTTAGTCTGGCCGCTATTATGAGGTTCCATGGGGCCATTCTGGGAGTTTTAATATGATGTAAACAAACACACAGTTGCCACATCTCAAAACATGCCAGCCATTGTACCGGGTATAAGTGCAGGTGACTGTACGTACTTGTAATCCATTATCTGATATTTTCATGAAGGTAAGTTGTTCTAATGACACCCATGACAATCTGTATTTCATGACTGTAAAATACCTGGTTGGAGTTGTGTTATGTGGTGAACATTATTACAGGAAACCTAATGTCTACCATATGGTGCTTTTGTATTAGTAAGGAGCAGTCAGGCATCATACTATATTACCTATTTTCTTCATACATGGCAATGATGGTTGACCCACCATGACCCATAATATGTAGTAACATACCGTGTAATGCAGCTAACCACATATACGTTGCTATGATGAACGATACTGCCAGCTTTATTGGCCAATGGCATTCAAGGAGATGTGTAGGGAAGATGACTCACCTCTTGGATTATCTTAAAACTGGGCATATATATATATATATATATATATATATATACACACATACACACAGTATATCAAGTACAGCAGCTTGTAATAGGTATTTTGTACAAGTTATCTTTTAGAAATGTTTTGTTATTTGGGTTGTGGCAGTGATTTGGTGGCTGTGAGGGAGGGTGTTGATCAAGGGCAAAGCAATATTTCCTGGGAATGACTCCCTATTCTTTTTCATAAGGTAAATATTTGTTTTTGTTTTCTACCTTACACCGGAACATAGAAAGTAGCTCATGTAAGGTCAAGTTAACTCTTAAGGCACTCTTTACTATTCATAGATTACATTGGCTTACATAAGGTTATGTTACTTGGGGCCAATTGCAAGAACGGTTATGGGGTGTACGATGCCATTTCCGATGACCTTCTTGCCCTGGTCTTTTTCAGCAATATCGCCTTTAACACATGGAATTCTGCACTTTTCGAAGCTTTGGAGGAGTCTCGAAACAAGTTTCCTGGTGGGAATTATTAGCTAGTGCTGTACTCAAAATATCGAAACTTCGAGATCTCTCCAGGGCTTCAAAAGGGTGGTATAACTGAAACGATCAGGGCAAGAAGGTCATCGTAAAAGGCGTCGTACACCCAACGACTGTTCTTGCAATTGGCCCTTGGTTACGTAGTGACGATATTGATGGCTGGTGTTATAATTATCAACACACACGTGCACACGTGCACACACACACACACACACACACACGTGCACACACACATCCTTGACCACAGAAGGGTCAAGACGTACCTGACGCTCCTCTTGGAGCAGCCAGGTCAACTGTTAAGTTGGCCCATACCAACCCCATCCCCTGAACCCCTCCTCCCCACCGGAATATCAACAAGTTCTCGCCAGAAGTTACAATTTCATTTAGGAAAGAAATGGAACCAGTGTTAAACAGAGGTGAACAGTGGTGAACAGTGCTTAAGTCAGTGAGAACAACTCAACAGTAACAGTCGTACCCAAGTTAACCTTCACACAGTGAGGTCCCAGGTACCCAGTGATAACGGCCCCCGCGAGACCCAACAACAACCAGCGATGTGTTATCCATCTACGATAGGAAAGCCTGGGACCACATGTCACTCATATAACACCGTCTGTGAAGGAATTACTATACCACGTCAGGTCCCTCATAACACCATCTGTGAGGTAATTACTACACCACGTGGTCCCTCATAACACCATCTGTGAGGGAATTACTACACCACGTCAGGTCCCTCATAACACCATCTGTGAGGGAATTACTACACCACGTCAGGTCCCTCATAACACCATCTGGGAGGGAGTTACTAAACTACGAGTTTGCTGTTCAACACCTACATTAATCTGTATGTTCACTGGATGTTCCTTTACCTTTCTCTAATGAAGGCTTTTGTTAAACCACCAATGTATGTAATAAGTCATTTATGTCCAATGTATATTTTCAGCCTTCGAGCTGCAGAACTTTTTCAATAAACCGTTAATTATTATTATTATTATTATTACACACACACACACGCGCACACACACACACACACACACGCGCACACACACACACACACACACACACACACACACACACACACACACACACACACTGTTATCAACAAGGCCATTGCACTAGGGCTGCCCACCAACCTGGTCTCATGGCTCACTGATTTCTTGAGTGGACGTCGTCAGGAAGTGAGGTATCCACATTCCAACACCTCACCTGCGGTGTTCCCCAGGGGACCAAGATGGGACCACTGTGCTTCCTCATCCTGATCAACGACGCTCTATCGGACACTCCTCACAGGTGGAAGTACGTGGATGACTGCACTGTGGGAGTTACAGTGAACAACACCTCACCAGACTACTCATCGCTACAAGGCACCCTGGACAGGCTACAGGCATGGACTACGGAGAACAAGGTCACCATCAACCACACCAAAATCGTAGTCATGCACATCAATACCGCCACCACTCCGGCAGTTACAGTGGGTGCCCATCCCCTCCAGTTGGTGCAGTCTGCCAAACTCCTGGGTGTTACCCTAGACCACAAACTGGAATGGATGGTCCATGTAAATAACACAGTCAAGGCAGCCTCGTACCGACTCTACATGCTACGACGACTCAGGTCACTTGGGACACCCACGCCAGAGCTGAGGACCATCTACAATGCCTTTATTCTCCCCAAACTAACATATGCGTCACCAGCCTGGTCGTCTTCTCTCAACTCCACCCAACAACGTCAGCTAGAGAAGGTACAGAAAAGGGCCTGCAGAGTCATGCTCGGCTCAGAATACTCCGGCTACATCAACGCTCTCTCCACCCTGGAAATACTATCCCCCAGGGACCTCCACCACCAAGCACTGGCAAGGTTTGGCAGTGGACAACTGCACCACCCTCGTCATCGCCGCCACCTGCAGCCCCCCCGCCCACCTCGCACAGTCCGCCACTACAACAAAATTCAGCCCACAAGAGCCCACACCGATAGATATAAGAACAGCACCATCCCATCTATTGTTAAAATAATAAACAACTCCTGATTTATGTACTGTACAGCCCTGTAAATGTATTCAATGCATATTATATCATGCACACATACACTCACACACTCATTCCTCACACTGGTCAACACACACACACACACACACACACACCTCCCTCTGTTATTTCTGCCCTCCTCCCTTCCTCCTTCCTTCCACTCCCTCCTTTCCTTACTCTTCCCCCTCCTCATCCTTCCCATTTCCCTCCCCCTTATCCCTCCATCCTCTCTCCTACTTCTCTTCCATTCTCCCTTCCCCCTCTTCTTCCTTCCCTCCCTCTTCTCCCTTCCTCTCGTCTCCTCCCTCCCCCTCCTCTCGTCTCCTCCCTTCCTCTCGTCTCCTCCCCTCCTCTCTCCCCTCCCCCTCCTCTCTCCCCTCCCCTCTCTCCCCTCCCCCTCCTCTCTCCCTCCCCCTCCTCTCTCCCTCCCCTCCTCTCTCCCCTCCCTCCTCTCTCCTCCCCTCCTCTCTCCCTCCCCTCCTCTCTCCCTCCCCTCCTCTCTCCTCCTTCCTCTCTCCCCTCCCCTCCCTCTCCCCCCCTCCCCTCCTCTCCCCCCTCCCCTCCTCTCTCCCCTCCCCTCCTCTCTCCCTCCCTCCTCTCTCCCTCCCCTCCTCTCTCCCTCCCCTCCTCTCTCCTCCCTCTCTCTCCTCCCCTCCTCTCCCCCTCCCCCTCCCTCTCTCCCTCCCCTTCCTCTCTCCCTCCCTCTCTCCCCTCCCCTCCTCTCCCCTCCCCTCCTCTCTCCCCTCCCCCTCCTCTCTCCCCTCCCCTCCTCTCTCCTCCCCTCCTCTCCTCCTCTCTCCCTCCCCTCCTCTCTCCCTCTCCCTGCCTCCTCTCTCCCCCTCCTCCCCCTCCCCTCCTCTCCCCTCCCCCTCCTCCCTCCCTCTCTCCCTCTCCCCTCCCCTCCCTCTCCTCCCCTCCTCCCCTCCCCTCCCCCCTCCCCTCCACTCTCTCCTCTCCCCTCACCCCTCCTCCCCACCCCTCCCCTCTCTCTCCCTCCCACCCTCCTCTCTCCCTCACTCCTCCCTACCCCCTCCCCTCCCCCTCCTCCCCCTCCCCCCTCTCTCCCTCCCCACCCTCCCCCTCTCTCTCCCCCTCCCCACCCCTCCCCTCCCTCCCTCCCCTCCTCTCTCTCCCCTCTCTCTCTCCCTCCCACCTCTCCCCTCTCCCCCTCACCCTCCTCCCCTCTCTCCCCTCACCCCTCCCCCTCCCACCCTCCCCTACCTCTCTCTCCCTGCCCCTCTCTCCCTCCCACCCCTCCTCTCTCCCCTCCCTCTCCTACTCCCCTCCTCCTCACCTCCCCTTTCCCTCCCCACCCTCCCCCTCCTCTCTCCCTCCCCCTCCTCTCTCCCCTCCCCCCTCCTCTCCTCCTCCTCTCTCCCCTCCCCTCCTCTCTCCCTCCTCCTCTCCCCTCCTCCTCTCCCCCCACCCCCTCCTCTCTCCCCTCCCCCTCCTCTCTCCCTCCTCCTCTCCCCTCCCCCTCCTCTCTCCCTCCCCTCCCTCTCTCCCTCCCCTCCTCTCTCCCTCCCCTCCTCTCTCCCCTCCCCCTCCCCCCCCACCCTCCGCCCTCCCTCCGCCCTCCACCATCCCTCCACCCTCCTCCCCACCTCACCTCCGCCCTCCCTCCGCCCTCCCCCACCCTCACCCCCGCCCTGTAGACCATTTTCCTTGGTGTGCTGACGTAGATATG